TGCCCGGCTAATTTTTTTTTCTATATAATTTTAGTTGTCCAGATAATTTCTTTCTATTTTTTTTTTTTAGTAGAGACGGGGTCTCGCTCTTGCTCAGGCTAATCTCGAACTCCTGAGCTCAAACAATCCGCCGCCTCGGCCTCCCAGAGTGCTAGGATTACAGGCGTGAGCCACCACGCCCGGCCTGTTTTGTTGTTTCTTGAATCCTCTATAAACTTATTTCTGCTTCAAGTCTTTGCATTTGTTGTTGTCACTATCTGGAATGGTATTCCCCCAGATAGACAAACAGCTTGTTTCCTCACTTTGTTTAATTCTCTGCTCAAATGTCACTTATTCAGAGAGGCTTTCCTTGACTAGCTGTATAAAATAGATCACCACCACACCTGTCATATATCCTGTCCCCTTTACCCTTCTTACCACCACTTGATATACTATATAATTTGTTCATTATTTGTCTTCCCCCACTGGAAAGTAAGTCCCATGAAGGGGAAATTTTTGTTTTATTCACTGTAGTATCCCAGCACTTGAAAAGTACCTGGTACATAGTAGGCACTTAAAATTTTTTGGATGAATAAGGTCCCTTTGAAATAGCTGTGTGATATGGTTCAGAATGAATTGTTCACAGTTTCTGTTTCAGGAGGATACCAATAATGCATTTTTCCTTCACCACTGGTGTCTAGGTCTCTTCATTCTTTATATCGTAGATTTAATTTTATACCCCCTAGTTGTATATAACTTTGAAAAATACTCCTCTATTGTTTTACTTTATAGCATCAGAAGCTTGTTTAGAAAGATTTGCAGGTTTTTTTTCTCTTCTTTTTTTTTTCTTTTTAATCTTATTGTCCCGCAACTAGGTGAAGAGGGTAGGTTTTCTTTTCATTACTGGATCTGAGAATTTTTGAAGTGCTTTTGGAGGTACTCGGCTTTTGCGATGATTGGCTGTAAGTCGAGGATGCTAGCAGAGGAGACAAGCACTGGCTACCAGCTGGTCCTAAAAATGTTCAAGCCAAAATGTTTGTACCCTCATAATATCCTGAAATAAAAAAAAAAAAAAAAAAGTTCAAGCTTACATAGGAGTATAAAAACCATACTCTTGTCTCCTTCCCCACTTATTCCTACCAACACTTTTCAGGATGTATATTGTCAATTTTAAATTTGAGGACTATTTTTGATGTTCAGCTTGGTTTTACCTGTTTAGAAAAGTCAGGAAGTGAAACCTCCAGAGATATTGGATCTGAGCCCTCTATAGTCTTCTGCTTTGACTCAGATTACGTATTAGAGAAGGAGAAAGAAGTGACTTTTATTTTCATCAAAAAGACTGAAGCAGGCCGGCGCGGTGGCTCACGCCTGTAATCCTAGCACTCTGGGAGGCCGAGGAGGGCGGATTGTTTGGGCTCAGGAGTTCGAGACCAGCCTGAGCAAGAGCAAGAACAAGAGCAACACCCCCGTCTCTACTAAAAATAGAAAAATTAGCCATGCATCATGGTGCGTTCCTGTAGTCCCAGCTACTTGGGAGGCTAAGGCAGGAGGATCGCTTCAGCCCAGGAGTTTGAGGCTGCAGTGAGCTATCATGATGCCACTGCATTTTAGTCAGGGTGATAGAGACTGTCTCCAAAAAAAAAAAAAAAAGACTGAAGTTTCTTCTGTATATTATGATTAGGTAATATTAGGAAAAAATTATACCCAGAATACATCATATTAAATGACTTTTTTTCTTTTAGTAGTTTACATTTTCAATTCAACAAATGTTAATTGAGCATACACTATCTGCTTGTAACGAGAGTAATAAAAAGATGGGCTAGGTTCCTTCCTGTAGGGAACTTGTATCATACAAGGCATTAAAAAACCCAACCTTGTCTCTAGGATGTTCCAGTAGAATACTTCTTTGTGAAATGCAATGGAGCACTCATTAACACCAGTGACACGGTGCAACATGGAGCTGTTTATAGTTTAGAACCCAGACTTCTTGGCGGAAAAGGAGGTAAGACATGAAAGTTGACTACTTAGTTGTAGCACATTTGTAGTCTTTAGCCATAAGTATTAAATTAACAAAGTCTTTGGTCTTTGTAGTATGTCAGTCTTGTTTTGTCTTGTGAAATCCTTTATGTACTTACCTAATTTTGAATAGTTTCTCTTTTATTCTTTGTGAAGGAGAAATATATGATACAGGCCGGGCGTGGTGGCTCACGCTGTAATCCTAGCACTCTGGGAGGCTGAGACAGCAGGATCGCTTGAGGGCAGGAGTTTGAGACCAGCCTGACCAAGAGTGAGACCCTGTCTCTACTAAAAATAGAAAAAATTAGCTGGCCAACTAAAAATAGAAACAAAAAATTAGCTGGGCATAGTGGTGAGTGCCTCTAGTCCCAGCTACTTGGGAGGCTGAGGCAGGAGGATCACTGGAGCCCAGGAGTTTGAGGTTGTTGTGAGCTAGGCTGATGCTATGGCACTCTAACCTGGGCAACAGAGAGAGACTCTGTCTCAAAAATAGGAAGAAAGAAAGGGAGGGAGGGAGGGAAGAAATATATAATTTTTACCTCACCAGATATCTCTTAGGGAACCTAGGCTCTAAAACTTTGAGAGATTCCCTAGCAAGCAGACTCAGATGGAAATTTAAAAAATATATTTAAAAAATAAAACTTTGATGGAGGTTAGGTGAAGAAAAATGACCATTTTGTCCAATCTACTAACGAAAGTGTTTTTTTAAAATCTCCCGCTTTTATCAAGATTTTGTCTTGTATTATAATTCAAGGAAAGTCTAAAGTCACCTTAAGAATATGAACAGTTCTTGGTATTTCTCCTGATTCACTAGCATGTAATCCGTAGGCTTTCTCAAAATCCACAGTGGTTTGGTTTTGTTATCAGAGAGCTGATATCTCAGAGTGTAATCATCCTCTGTTTGAAACTGTATCAAGAATGAAGCATGTTATATCTGCAAGTGACAGCTTAAAATTGCCTTTCCTTTTAAACTCACTGAAAGTTTCTCACCATAAAATTTTTTTTCTTTTTTGAGACAGAGTCTTGCTTTATCTTCCAGGCTAAAGAGCAGTGGCATCATCATGGCTCACTGCAACCTCAAACTCCTGGGCTCAAGCAATCCTCCTGTCTTAGCCTGCCAAGGAGCTGGGACTATAGGCATGTGCCACGCCTGGCTAATTTTTTCTATTTTTGTTAGAGAAGGAGTCTTGCTCTTGCTAAGGCTGGCCTCCAACTCCTGAGGTCAATCAGTCCTCCCACCTCAGTCTGCCAGAGTGCTAGAATTACAGGCATGAGCCTCTGTGCCCAGTCTACCATATAATTTTTAAGTTCTTAATCTGGGAGTCCTGGGATCTCTGGCATTGCATAAAGCCCTTTAAAAATCCCAGCTATACAGGCATGATATTTCTGAAATATAAAATGAAGGGTGAAAGGTATGAGGTTGAATCAGTGTTTTTACCTTCGCTGCCTGGGTTAGAACCTTGATGTAGATCTCCTTTAAAAAAATAAAGTAGAGGCCGGGCGCAGTGGCTCACGCCTGTAATCCTAGCTCTCTTGGAGGCCTAGGCGGGCGGATTGTTTGAGCTCAGGAGTTCGAGACCAGCCTGAGCAAGAGTGAGACCCTGTCTCTACTAAAAATAGAAAGAAATTAATCGGACAACTA